TGTTGTTCATATTGCATGCCTATTAAAGAAAAATCATCTTAATTAATTAGAGAGCCCCATCAATGAAATGTTCTTTCATTTACCAAATATACCATCAGACTACAAACAAAAGTATTCAAACTCACTGATGCAAACAAGGTCAAAATGAAAGCTATCTCAGGAAATTTGTCAAGAGTTTTATGTACCAAGTTGAAGCTCCTAAAATCCACCTGATTTATTTCAGAGCACTTTGATCTAAGTGTACAAATTACCTGCAAACTGTCAGTTTTATTTCTTAAGATTGAATTTTCATTGGTGAGATTTTCCTTTGCTGCGATTGCCATTTATCACTACAGGCAAATCCTGATAACTCAAACCCTCATGAACTACCAACCTCGTGCTAACTCAAACAAAAATTGATTTCCCCTGGATTTCCATCATACATTTACTGCAATTTTACCCTTAGTAACTCAAACCTCCCACTAACTCAAAGCAACTGTTGTTTCTCTTCTGGTCATTCCCTACATATTATTACCTTCATACAGTAACTCACAACTTTTCTGTCAATATGTGGCAAATCAAAACAGTGTACTAAAGACTGAAATATTTATGTTACATTGTGATTTCTGCAGTAATTTAGTGTTCGATGTTTCACTTGATTTCTTTATAATAAGAAATATTATAATATTAGGTGCTTTAACTTGGTACATAAAATGTACACTGTATGAACAGAAAAAAAAAATACCATTTTCCCCTTATTTCTGGTCCTTTGTTTTCAACTCCTGATAACTTGAACCTTTTTCAATTTTCCTTGAAGGCTTCAGCTATTGGGATTCAACTGTGCTTTGGTTTTGGTTTTTTTTTTTGGTACTCAAATCCAATCCTTATATTTTCATTTTTAACCATCCTCATTCCTTTTTCAGGTAATTCTCTAATACTAAATTGACTCAGATTATCATGATGCACAAATACACCTTGTAGCTCTTTAAAAATTTCCATTGGACAAGGATTAGTTTTTTAAGGAGGATCTACACTTACATGATTAAAGACAATTTACCCAAAATAGCCACAAAGTGTCCAGAGAGATTTACAAGACTATAACTAGGCTGTAATCTGTTTCCTGTTGGTCAGGTCGGTCAGTCTTGACTGCTACCAGTAACCATGAATCCGGTACCACCCGTTGCATGATGGGTCAGACTGTCCGTGACTAAACCGACCACCCCACTTCAAGTGAGGTGTGGAGGGTGAAACTGGGTGTCCTTACAGAACCAAAAACAACATCTGTCAAAGGTCTGTGGTGGACCACTCCCAGTTGGTGCCCCATGGCAGCACTTAAGGGCAGTGATAGACAAACCTATCTCCCAGCCAGCCACTGCAGCATGAACGAAACGCCAGCTTGTCTTGACCTGTTCTTGCCGCTGGATTACATTCCCGCCCTGCTGAGAGAGTGATTCTGGTAAGGCGAAAGCCAGTATTACTTAACCGATTAGCATGCAGTTCCATGGATAAATGGTAACAAAATAGTTTCCCATACCGGCTTGAATGTCGCCTGGGCTAACAAGGTTCGTGCTGGCTCGTTCCAGCTCCGATGACCAGTAGAAAGTAAGCTAAGATGCAAGAATAACGACAGGTAATTTCTGAGATTAGCTGAATGGAATGTAAGAACCCTTCTAGACAGAGCTAACTCAAAAAGACCAGAGGGTCCGACAGCGCTTGTTGCAAAAGAGCTGAGCAGATACGACATTGAAATTGCCGCTCTAAGTGAAACTCGATTGGCTCTACATGACAGCATGACAGATAATGGCTACACAAAGTCATTCTTCTGAAGTGGTAGGGAAGAAGGTGAAAGAAAAGAAGCTGGAGTTGGATTAGCAATCAAAAATTCAATCGTTCAAAGACTGGAACAAGAACCAACACCAATCAATGACAGAATCATCACCATGCAACTGCCTCTGCAGAGAAACATCTATGCTACAATTATCAGTGCCTATGCTCTGACAAGGACAAACCCTGAAAAGAACAAAGAAGAATTTTATAACAGACTGAGGAGAACCGTGAAGGAGGTCCCTACCACTCATTATAGCAGGTGATTTCAATGCAAGGGATGGATGTGAGCAAAATAACTGGCTCAGAGTAATTGGCTTACAAGGGATCGGAAAGTGTAACTCAAATGGTGAACTCATACTGGCAATCTGCTCTGAGTACAAGCTAGTAATCACTAACACCGTCTTCAAACACAAGCATAATCACAAAACTACCTGGATGCATCCTCGGTCAAAGCATTGGCACCTATTAGATTATGGGATAACACGGCAGAGCGATCAGAAAGATGTGTTGGACACTAGACCAATGAGAGGGGCTGACTGCTTGACAGATCACAACATGATTTGATCTACACTCACTTTGGTACTCATGAGGACAGCCACTGACAAGACCAAAGGAAAAGCAACATCCAAGATGAATGTGGCTAAGTTGCGAAATGAGAAAATAGGCAGGGCATTCTAGAAGCAAACAAACAAGATCATGGAAGATAAGTATGATGAAAACCTGGATTTAGAGGAGCAGTGGGACAGGTTGAAGACCACTGCCAACGAAACAGCTGGAGATATCCTTGATAAACCAGACCGAAACACCAAGACTGGTTTGATGAGAGTGATGTTGAGCTTAACACCTTGCTTGGCGAATGAAATAAGGCTAAAGCAAACGAGCTAAAAAGAAAAACATGAGGGAGCAGGGATGTGGCATCCCTGCTGAGGTTTGGAAGTATGGTGGAATAAAGTTCAAAGAGAGACTTTACGATCTGATTGTTGATATCTGGACAAAAGAACAAATGCCACAAGATTCAGGAAGGATGCAAACATTGTGCCTATCTTCAAGAAGGGCAACAGGAGAGACTGTGGCAATTACAGAGGAATCTCACTTCTGTCTATGGCTGGAAAAATAATGGCTTGCATTATCCTCAACAGATTAAATAACAAGATAACTCCTAACATCTTGCCCGAGACTCTGTGCAGATTTCAAAGCAACCGAGGTACCATCGACATGATCTATAGCCTGCGGCAGATCCAAAAGAAATGTATAGAACACAATATGCAACTGTATGCTGTATTCATAGACTTTACTAAAGCCTTTGATACAATGTCAAGAGAAGGCCTCTGGATAAAACTAAAAAAGTTTGGATGTACAGACAAATTCATCAACATGATCAAACCTCTACATGAAGGGATGCAGGCCCAAGTAGTTCAAGGTAAAGACATCTCCAAGAAATTTGCAGTGACTGTCACAAAATGGTGTTAAGCAGGCCTGTGTGCTTGCACCTACATTATTCTCATTATACCTAACAGCAATGTTCAAAGTAACATTTAGGAATTTACATGAAGGAACTTACATTCAGATAAGACATGGGGCAGATCTCTTCAATGTGTCTCACTTCAAGGCAAAAACTCTCACTACTAGGTACTTAGTTCGAGAGATCCTGTTTGCTGGTGATACTGCCCTGGTGGCTCACAATGCTGCAGATATACAACTACTTGTTGAGGAGTTTGCCAGGGCTGCCGCTCAATTCAGCATGAAGATGAATATCAAGAAGACAGAATGCCTGTTCCAACCAGTCAAACTACTTAACCCTCCACCTGGACCAGAATCAATCATGGTAAACCCGGAGCCACTTGTACAAAGCACTGATTTTACCTACCTTGGAAGTTCAGTCTCGAACACTGCTAGAATAGACAAGGAGATTTAGAATAGAATGGGGAAGGCAAGTGCTGCTTTTGGTAAACTCCAACACCAGCTGTGGAAAAACAAACACGTTTCCATGTGAGAGAAGTGCAAAGTCTATGGAGCAGTGGTACTATCAAGCCTCCTTTATGGATCAGAAGTATGGACAATATACAGGTCACAGTCTGGGGGGGGGTACTCCCTTATAAGGGCTTAATGGGGACGTGCGGCCAGCCAGGGTATGTTTTTCGAGATTTTTGTCTTAAACAGGGTATCGAATTTATCATTTTTTGTCTTAATCAGGGTATCGATTTATCAATTTTTGTCTTAAACAGGATATCTTTTCTTGGAAGATAAACAGCAAAATTTTTACAAGCTCTAATTTTAATTAATATTGAATTCCTTTGATTTTGGCATTGATACCAGGCACATTAAATGTCTTAAACAGGGTATCCAAAATCGGAATTCTGTCTTAAACAGGGTTGGAAAATCAGTAATATTTGTCTTAAACAGGGTCAGGGTATGAGGGGCCGCGCCGCACCTCCCCACCCAGGAATTTATTGAGTACCCCCCGGGGGGTCACAGGTTAAGAAACTACATGCTTACATGATGAGACAGCTGAGAGACATCATGAACATCAAATGGACCAATAAAATCAAAAATGAAGAAATCCTACTCTGCGCAGACCTGCCAAGCATGACTGACATACTGATTGAGAAAAACCTTAGATGCTTAGGACACGTGCACAGGATGGAAAACGACTGGCTCCCCCCGACAAATGCTCTACTACCAGCTCTATGAAGGAATCAGAAACCAAGGAAGACCTAGACTCAGATACAAGGATGTAAAAACAAAATATGAAGTGGAGACACATGGACCAAAAATCCTGGCAGACTACAGCCAATAACTGAACAGCATGAAGAAATGCTATCCAACCAAAGCCGAATCCATAGGACAGTCATAGTCGCATCGACTGATTTCAAGAGAGAGAGAATCTGTTTCTAACCCTTAACACCCTAACATCAATATGCATGATTCTAACAAGCAATGTATCAAATGCAGTTACTGACGGCATTTTCTTCAGCTTCATTGACCATGTTTTCAATCTCTCTCCTTGAATTTCACCCTTTCACTCTCAAGATTTCATTAGTAATTCAACTTACTGTCTGCCACACAGTTCTTTTGATGTTGGTCCAAAGAATTTGAAATTGGGTCAACTAATAATCACCCTCAAGGCTGTAGTCTAGCAGTGCCCAGTGGCCCCTCGCACCATACTTTCTCTCTTGGGCGACTAAAGAATCTTGGTTTTTTCATAAAAAGCATATGCTGGGCACCCTGGATTTCACAGTTTCAAAGCACTGGGCTCCATTCTATTTTTCTTTAAGCACAGCCTTGACCCTAATTGACATATTAATTCCCATCACTTATCAGGGCTCAAATTTAATTTTTGGAGCACCAACCCTTCGGGTCAGTAGACATCTTTTTTAACTAACCAAATTAAAAAGTTTGGTATCCAAGCTCACAAGTTACAATATCTCAAATATTCAACATTTTGATAATAACGACTAGGACAAACTAAAGAGTAGCTGAAATTGCATGGTGACCTTAAAAACGTTGACAATTATGCACTTATTTTATTTCCCTCTTGTTTACCATGATTAGTCACGAACAGTACGTCTACAGCACATTCTCTAAAAATAGTTTGAGTTGATTTAACAACTTGAGTATTCTAAGTATTCCTCTGAGAGTCAGGTCTACGTGTTCTTAGTCTTCAAGTCCACCAGTGTTTAAATATGTTAGAAAATTTTACTAACCATGTCAGGTTAGCTGGACACATTTTTAGTAACCAAACATTGAAAATTACTAACCATTGGTTAATGGGTTACCGTTAATTTTGAGCCCTGCTATGCTCACTACACATTGTCTCAACTTTGTAAGGAGAAATTCTGTCTTGTGGGAGTTGAAGGGTTGCCACTGGGAACCAAAAGAGAATTTAAACTTTTCGAATCTTGTGGCTTTGCAACTTTCTCTTCTTCATTGCTAGATGTTTAACACTGGTTCCATGAACTTAGTGAAAAGTTTGTGCCAATTTTTTTTTAATTTTGTGCTTTACGCACTTTGGTTTCACTGCTGAAGATGTTTTGCTTATTGATTGCAGGGTTCTCGGACTTTTTCAGGAACCAATTCAAGGACTTTCAAGGACTTTTTAAGTCATTTTCAAGGACGTTGGCTATTAAATTCAAGGACCTTTTGCATCAAATAGGAGCTAATAGCGATAAAAGACATTGCTCTTTATTGTTAAAAGTAACTGATAAAAGTCGAACAAGCGTGACTTCAAGCACCCACATCAGAGTGGTCACGCACTAGGTAACCAAGGTTATTTTCAATGCACCAATCAGGTACAAAATATATAAAAAAATCATGTGTCAAACATCATAATTGGATGCTAGATTCGAAAGGGAAACTTGTTTTTGTGATTTGTGTTAGAAACTTAACTTTCAACACCAAAAACAAAAGAAAACTGTGACTTTGATTCGTCTGCGCTTATTTTCATGGACTTTTCGGAAATTTTCAAGGACCTGAGTCTAAATTCAAGGGTTTTCAAGTCCTTGAAACAAAAAAATTAAATTCAAGGATTTTAATAATAATAATAATAATGTCTTTACTNGATAAAAGTCTAACAAGCGTGACTTCAAGCACCCACATCAGAGTGGTCACGCACTAGGTAACCAAGGTTATTTTCAATGCACCAATCAGGTACAAAATATATAAAAAAATCATGTGTCAAACATCATAATTGGATGCTAGATTCGAAAGGGAAACTTGTTTTTGTGATTTGTGTTAGAAACTTAACTTTCAACACCAAAAACAAAAGAAAACTGTGACTTTGATTCGTCTGCACTTATTTTCAAGGACTTTTCAGAAATTTTCAAGGACCTGAGTCTAAATTCAAGGGTTTTCAAGTCCTTGAAACAAAAAAATTAAATTCAAGGATTTTAATAATAATAATAATAATGTCTTTACTAAGCAATCTAAACAACAAACGTGTTTAGTTACAACGATATTAACTAAGCAAGTATAAAACTGATTAACTAACTAGATTACTAACTGACTGACTAACAAGAGTACAAGCATCTATAACAAAAGTCCTCTTGAAAATGTTCAGTTCTGACAAGCGGGAGAATATAATTATGATGCCTCTTACATAGTTATGACACCTCTAACTATTTCAAGGGCTTTCAAGGACAACAGGAACCCTGTGGTTGGAAAACAGACGGCCCTTAAAAGAAAATCCCACTGACCTGAAATGGGGCCCAAAGCAGCATCCTTTTAACCAATAAGAGTGACTGGGTTCTAATTTCTCAAAACGAATTCTCCTAATGTCAATTTGCCATTTGGAAACGTATAGAGAATAGTATGGAAGATATGAATTCTGATGTTAGGGTGTATAGGGTTAATCAAGGAAAACAAGAGTCACCTTGTATGAAAATGTACTGCAAGTGTTGGTACACCTGACCCTGAAAGAATTTTTAACAAGATATTGTGAGTAAATGGGTTAAGAAGAAAAAAATTTTAGAGCCTCCAGAGATTATCTCCCTGATACTTTCTCCAAGTCAACAAATAAATGCTACAAATCGATGGCCTGCATTTTATATCCTGGTGCACGTTGCATAAGTACAGCTGTGAAGTGTATACCCATCTCCTTGGATGCAGTCCTTTTTTGCCCTAGTCTGTTGTCCAAGTCCACAGTCCTTGGTTACACTGCGACTCTACATTTTATTTTTCTGTACAAGGTCTATCCAAGGTTGTACTTTTTTTTTTTTTTTTAATTCATTACAATTTGGCAATAGACTCAAAGGTAATCTGGGTTTAACGACTCAATTAGATAAGGAATTAGTGAGTACATTTACCCATTAAGGTCGGCACACACGAGGGGACTAGTCC